AATACGCCCCTTTTTAACCAATGACACCACAAAGCTTCTAATTCACTCCCTTGTAATCTCTCGTCTCGACTACTATAACTCCCTCCTTAATGGCCTACCACTAAGCAGGCTATCCCCCTTTAGTCTATCACGAATGCTGCTGCCAGACTCACGCACCTTACCAACCGTTCAGTGTCTGCCGCCCCTCTCTGCCAATCCCTCCACTGGCTCCCACTTGCCCAACTAATAAAATTCAAAATACTAACAACAACATACAAAGCCGTCTACAACTCTGCCCCAACCTACATCACTGACATCATCTCAAAATATCACCCAAACCGTCCTCTCAAGAGCTTCTTCTCTCTAGCTCTCTCTATACCTCCTCCCATGCTCGCCTCCAGGACTTCTCTAGAGTGTCCCCCATCCTCTGGAACTCCTTACCCCATTCTGTCCGCCTATCTCATACGCTGCCCACCTTTAGGCGATCCTTAAAAACCCATCTCTTCAATTAAGCCTACCTCATCTCAACATAACTGCCTTTTACTTCCTCCAATAACTCAATCCAAACAATTATTACCTTTTGTATCACTTGCCCCTCCTACTAGATTGTAAGCTCTCACGAGCAGGGCCCTCCCAACCCTATTGTTCTGAAACTGTATTGTACTGTAAATTGTATTGTAACTGTACTGTCTCCACTATTTTGTAAAGCGCTGAGCAAACTGTTGGCGCTATATAAATCCTGTATAATAATAATCTGATCCTCGGTCCAGCGGCGTTGAGTGCTCACCTCTTCCCCTCCACTCCACTCCGGCTGTGGCATGTCCTTTGGCGTCCTCACATCTAATGCAGGTGAATGGACTGCATTAGACCCAATTATGTCAGCAGGGCTTAGACAGCCGCAGCCCGGGGGATAAGAGGCTGCAGGGACCGGTCTAGCAACCAGCCAGGATTTTTCGCCACTAGACCAAAAGGAGCAGTTAACCTACCAGTGCGGGAGTAGCCACGCTGCAAGAGTTAGTGACATTAAACCCTCTGGGTTTTTTTGCATGTATCTACTGCTAGCAAACAGTAGATATATGCAAAAACATTAAAAAAAAAAAAAAAAGTCACCAAAAGGGTTTTACTTACCCGTGTTTTTGCCGCTCACTCTAATCCAAGCAGCCGCGAAGGATCATGAGGCGGGCGCATGTGAGATCTTTGGCCGGGAGAAGAGGAGAGATACAGTGTAATTCAATGCACACAGCCCGGCAGCGTGTACCTGCACAGAATCCATGGGACAGGAAGACACAGCTGGATCAGAGACGGCACCAACGCTGGAGGGACTCCAAGTTCCCCAATGCACCCTCCTATAACCCACCACTCCATTTGTACCCCACCTCACAATGTGTTTCCCATGCATTCTCCTATATCCCAACACACCATGCCTTCCAGCATGCACCCTCCTATATTCCACCACACCAGGAGTACCCCCATGCACACTCCTATAACCCACCACACCACGTGTTCCAGCATGCACCCTCCCATATACCACCACACTTCGCGTTCCCCATGAATCCTCCTATATCCCACCACCGCATGTGTTCCCCATCACTCTATAATATGCCACCATGCAATGTGTTCCCCATGCACTCTCCACTATCCCACCCGTACCCCCATGCACTCTCCTGTATCCCACCACACCCCCTGTGCACCCTCCAATATCCCACCCGTACCCCCATGCACTCTCCTGTATCCCACCACACCCCCTGTGCACCCTCCAATATCCCACCCGTACCCCCATGCACTCTCCTGTATCCCACCACACCACGCACACCCTCCGGTATCCCACCACATCAGGCGTACCCCCGTGCAATCTCCGATATCCCACCACGTCAGGCGTACCCCCGTGCACTCTCCGATATCCCACATCAGGCGTACCCCCGTGCACTCTCCGATATCCCACCACATCAGGCGTACCCCCGTGCACTCTCCGATATCCCACATCAGGCTACCCCCGTGCACTCTCCGATATCCTACCACATCAGGCGTACCCTGATAAGTGTACAGTGTGGAGCTGCCGCTCGTTTTCAAGTGATCTGATCATTTATCAGATCACTTGAATGAAACGAGAAGCGATTCTGTCCACCCCGCCCCCCCCCTCCCGTGGTTTTCGGGATCCCCCGCTCCTCTGGCGGACCCGAGACCACGGAACATGAGCTCACCATAGAGCCCGCAGCGTCAGTTTTTCGTCTGCTCTGTGTTATCACTGAGACCGTGTGATCACAGCGCCACCTGTCTCAGTTGTCAGGAACTACATCAGTTCTGTGTTGGAGGGCAGGTTCCATAAAGAGAACCTGTCACCTCCAAACTATCACTTAGAGGATTTTAAATCCCCATGTGATAGGAATAAAATTAGGTGGGGGTAAAAAATAAAAGTAATAAAGTAAAAAATAATTAATTGTATTAAAAAAAAAAGTGACAATGTAAAAAATAAAATAAATGAAAACCAACCCCGATACCCCCGCCATTGGCATGCAAATAAACGCACGCATAGGACATTGTGTGTGTGCGTTGAGTGCTGCCACCATTTCACTGTGCCATATTGTGGTAGCGAGGCAGCAGAACTCTCTCACACGCACAATGTGCATTAAAGGGCAAGTTCACTTTCCCAGGTAATATGGGAAAATGGATTTACCCGATCAAATCTGGCCCCCGTCTCTCCCAAAATTCTTCGATGTCCCACCACATCAGGCGTACCCCCCTGCCCTCTCCGATATCCCACCACATCAGGCGTACCCCCGTGCACTCTCCGATATCCCACATCAGGCGTACCACCGTGCACTCTCCAATATCCCACATCAGGCATACACCCGTGCACTCTCCGATATCCCACCACATCAGGCGCACCCCCGTGCACTCTCCGATATCCCACCACACCATGCACCCTCCCATATACCACCACACTACACGTTCCCCCATGAATCCTCCTATATCACACCCCAGCATCACTCTAATGTGCCACGATGCAATGTGCTCCCCCATTCACTGTTATATCCCACCGCCGCATGTGTTCCCCATGCACCCTGATACACTCTCTAATTAACCTCATGAGCTCGGTTAATACACCTGCTTTTCCCGTTAGCTTCTCCACGGATATACATGGCTCGGTGATCATCTACTAGCAGCCTGGAATAGCTATGTATTGTAGCGGTTCTACCTTGTCATATGACCTGTCATGTGACTTCTGACTCTCCGCCCCCC